CCAGGTCGGGGGTGCGGCCAGGCCTGGGAGGGTGTTTGACTGAGAGAAGATGAAGGAGAGATAGAAGGGGCAGGGGGTGATGGGGAGGGAGGAGGCCCCAGCAAGTGTTTCCAGATGGGGGTGAGTTGCTGTGGGGGCTGGGCCCACCGGTGCTGTGTCCACAGGAAGGCCCTAGAGATGAGCTGCGCCATTCAGAACCAGCTGGCCCGCATTCTGGCCGAGTTTGAGATGACTCTGGAGAGGGATGTGCTGCAGCCGCTCAGCAGGCTGAGTGAGGTGACCCTCCCCACTGCCCCCAGCCCCGCCCCTCGCCAGCATCCCTAGCCTCCGCTCCTACCTCCTCAGCCCACTGACCCCCTCCCTCCCCGTGTCCACCCCCAGGAGGACCTGCCCGCCATCCTCAAGCACAAGAAGAGCCTGCAGAAGCTGGTGTCCGACTGGAACACCCTAAAGAGCAGGTGGGAGCCAGAGCCCCTGGGTGGGGCCCACGCCTAGGTCAGCCCACAGAGGTGGCCGCAGAACCCACACTCGGAGGGTGTGGCAGGGCCCACTGGGTATAGTGTGTGCACGTGCTCATGCCAGCTGAGGGTGACCCCAAAGCCTAAGAGAGCCAGAAATGATCCTCCAAGATCCCTGGACAGCAGGAGGGTCCCACCCCCACCCCTTGCCTGGCTGTGATCACCAAGCCTACCACCAGGGGGAGGCCCTGAGCACTCATGGCCCCCCCGCCTGGCTGAGGCCGCCGGCAAGTGGGGTTCTGGGATGTTCATCCATAAATCCCAGAATCCTGGGTGGTCAGGCATACGGAGGGGACACTTGGCTCTGGACAGGCAGTGGGAGGACGCTGACCGCCCCACCTTGGGATCGTTGCCAGGCTCACTCAGGCAGCTAAGAACTCAGGCTGCGGTCAGGGCCTGGGCGGTGGTGCCGGCGGTTACAGCCATACGGCCACCGCCACCAAGGTGGAGACGCTGAAGGAGGAGGAGGAGGAGCTAAAGAGGAAGGTGGAGCAGTGCAAGGTGAGCAGGCACTTGGAGTTCCCTGGGTGGGAGGAGGGCGCCAAGGGCGGGTCCTGTCCCCATTTCAAGGAGGGGAAGCTGAAACTCGGAGGCGTAATGTGCCTCACCCAACGCCACATGGCCAGGAAGCGGCAGAGCCAGGATTTGAATCCAGGCAGTGAGCCTCTGAGCTCGTAGCCTCTTCTGTCTACACCACACGTAATTCCTGGGAGGCAGGGGCCTGGTCTGTTGGCCGCGGTCTTGGCGGTGTTGCTGGGTGAGTCGAGGAATGAATAGTAAATGACATGAGCCGCTGTGCTAAGGGTGTGAGGTGCAGAGATGACGTCTAGAAGCTGTAGAAAGCCCCTCAGGAGTTCCAAGGGGTTCCTGCGGGCCGTGTCCAGGTGCAAACCGTGCCAGAGAGAGGAGAACTGACCGGGGCTCTCCACGTGGAGCTTGGACAAGTCACTAACCCTGGGTCTCAGTTTCCCCGCTGGGCCCCAGCCTCACTGGTGTGAGCCCTCCCCTTTCTGTCTCCAAGGACGAGTACTTGGCCGATCTATACCACTTTGCCACCAAGGAGGACACATATGCCAACTACTTCATCCACGTGAGTCCTAAGACTGGGCTCCAGCCCCTGGGACTCAGGGGTGGACACCAGGGGCCCTGGGACACCTTTCCAGATGTGGGAGGGAGGGGCGTGTTCTTATGGACTCCGGGGAGGCGCAGCATCCCTCACTCCGCCTGGGGGTGCCCCCTTGTCTCCACAGCTCATGGAGATTCAAGCTGACTACCATCGCAAGTCTCTGAGCTCGCTGGACACAGCCCTGGCTGAGCTGAGGGAGAACCACAGCCAAGCAGGTGGGGACAGAGGCAGGGCCTGGCCCTGTACCCCCGACCCCAGCCCTGCTCCGGACATGTTAAGAAGCTTGCACTCCATCCTGAAAGGCCCTAGGGAGCCATGGATGATTTCTGAGCAGATTAGTTCTGATTAGATTTGTGATAGAGAGGTCATCTGCTGGGTAGAGGATGGAGTGAAGGGGCAGGACAGGAGTCAGGAGACCTTCAGGAAGCAGAAGGGAGGGGACGGTGGCCTGCACTGGGGTGGAAACGGTGGAGGTGGGTGGATTCGAGAGAGATGTTGGGCAATTTCAGGATATGTGGCACGGATGGCTGGGTGGGAGGTGGTACCATTGGCCAAAGCAGTAGCCCTCGCGGATGTCTGGGGGTGCCCTGGCCTGGTTGCCAGGGAGGGGAGGACCCTGGGCCGCTGATCTGTCTCATCCCTGCAGACCCCTCCCCCTCGATGACGGCCGCCCCCTTCTTCGGGGTGTATGGGGTGTCACTGGCAACCCACCTGCAAGACCTGGGCCGGGACATCGCCCTGCCCATTGAGGCCTGCGTCATGATGCTGCTTTCTGAGGGCATGAAGGAAGAGGTGGGGCCCACGGGGGCAGGGCGGGCAGGAGCCCTGGGGCCCTCCCTCTGTCCACAGCTCCCACCGGCTGCCCCGTGCTGGTGCTGTCATCCCACCATTAGAGCCCAGGCCCCACCATTAGAGGCCACGGCCTCCTGTTGCCAAACGGACACCAGCTCCCACTTAGGGATGCTCGTGAAGCAGCCATTGTGCTGTAAAGCCTTTACGTTTCTTGATCCATTTAGTAATCCCAGAAACCCTTGCAGGGAGCCTTCACCGGCTCCCTTTTACAAGGGGAGAGACCGAGGCCACAAGGAAAACGTGACCAGAGGCACACGAGAGGGTGGCAGTAAAGCCTGGGACCCCCGTGCGGTCCCTGCTGCAGGCAGCCCGCATCCGTCCGGTGCACCAGGTTGTCGCTAGTCCGTCAGCTCCTTTCCTGAGGACAGACCCTTAGGAGGTGGAACCTACTCGAAGACCCACTTGGGCTTCCTCTCAGCGCCTCCAGGCCTCCTCTCTCCCTGCCACTCCTAACCGGACACCTGTCTCCCCACCGCTTTCCCAGCTCCTCCCAGACTCCCCACTTTGTGCCAAATCCCAGGCCTTGAGAGTGAGGGCAGCCGTGCACACCATGGCCCCCACACTGCCCATCCGACTGGTGGGGCCCCGGGCCCCGGGAGAGCCAGGCGCCCACTCCGAGCGAGCCAGGGCCTCCTAGCCAGGACCTCCTCCCCTGCCACCCTTCCGTGACCCCCCTGCCCATTTCCTCTCGCACCCCAGGGCCTCTTCCGTCTGGCGGCCGGAGCCTCGGTGCTGAAGCGCCTCAAGCAAACCATGGCCTCGGACCCCCGCAGCCTGCAGGAGTTCTGCTCCGACCCCCATGCCGTGGCAGGTGCCTGCTCCCAGGAGCCCCGGGAGGAGGGCCTTCCCCCGCGAATCCCTTCCCTGCAGCTGCGTGAAACGCTCCCATGATAGTTTGGCTGTGAAGGCCTGGTAATCGACACCTCGGGAGACATAGGGGTCTGTAAAGGGGGGGTGGTCCGTGGTGAACCCCCTGCGGTGCAAGTACATTTTCCTGGGAACAAGTCTGCTAGACATCATCATTTTCTTCAAAAGGCCCAGGGCCCAAAGAAATGATCAGACCTGGTCATGTTAGTGTGAACAAGGGCCTGGTTCCTAACAGACAGACAGCGCTGGGCACCGGGGTGGAGGTGGGAGCTTCAGGGACTGTGTCCGACACCCCTGCCACCACTTCAGGTGCCCTCAAGTCCTATCTGCGGGAGCTGCCAGAGCCCCTGATGACCTTTGACCTCTATGACGATTGGATGAGGGCAGCCAGGTGAGGTGGGGGGTGCTGGGGAGGGCGGGGCTGCAGGGCTGGGACCCTGGGGCCCTGGACTGGCTCACCAGGTCTCTCCCCCTCCCCAGCCTGAAGGAGCCAGGGGCCCGGCTGGAGGCCCTCCAACAGGTGTGCAGCCGCCTGCCCCAGGAGAACCTCAGCAACCTCAGGTGAGCCTGAGCCCGCCCCCTTGTCGTAGGCAAGATTTCCGAAACCACACCAACCATGACTAAGATGTGCTAGTCATGTTTTTCATACTAGACATTGAGCTAAACACACACCTAGAACCTTTGAAGCCAAGCCACCTGGTTTGAAAGTCCCACCTCTGCCGCTGTGTGGCCCTGGGCAGGTGATCTGACCTCTCTGTGCCACAGTGCCCTCACTGGGGAACAGAGCACATCAGTCCCTACCCCGCAGGGCAGGGAGGGAGATTCTCAGCTTAGCTCAGTGCCTGACACACACGTGGCGCTCAGCAGGTCAGCTCATTTAACTATTAAAAAATTTTAGGGATGCCTGGGTGGCTCAGTCGTTAAGCGTCTGCCTTCGGCTCAGGTCATGAGCCCGGGGTCCTGTGATCGAGTCCCACATCAGGCTCCTTGCTCAGGAGTCCTGCTTCTCCCTCTGCCGGCCACTTCCCCTGCTTGTGCTCACTCGCTCGCTCTCGCTCTCGCTCTCTGCCAAATAAATAAATAAACAAAATTAAAAAAAAAAAAAAAGTTTAAAGCATCCTGAGGGGGACCTTTGCCACTCTTGGGAAACCCCAGGCTGAGAAATTCCCAGGCCTCAGGGGCATCAGTGGGTGTTCATGGCCCTGTCCTTGACCAAGCCCATCTTCTGCCTCCCCAGGTACCTGATGAAGTTCCTGGCACAGCTGGCTGAGGAGCAGGAGGTGAATAAGATGACGCCCAGCAACATCGCCATCGTCCTGGGGCCCAACCTGCTGTGGCCCCCCGAGAAAGAAGGGTGAGGGGCTGCAGCCTGAGGAAGGGGGCAGTCTCCACCCCAACTGTCTGCTGCTTATTTTACCCCTGGGCCTCAGCCTCCCCATCCTTGCAGTGGGTTGAGCAGCTCCTAGTCTCAAGGCTTGCCGTGAGGAGCAGCCCAAAGGGAACATGGACCCCACAGGGTTTTGGAGCTAGGCGTCCTGGGTGAGAGTGGTAGTGGGGTGCTTGGAGGGCTGGGAGTCCAGAGATCTGGTTCTAGCCTCACCCCCTCGCCCTTTCAGAAATGCCTTTGGAAGTCGCTCTCTGGACCTCCATTTCTTCACCTGTAAATTGGAGAGAAATTTTACAAACTTTGAGGCTTTTTGCTTTGGGAACCAGATGAGATAATGAATGGAGAAATGGTTTATAAGCTGCAAAGTGCTGTGTGTGGTATGGGAGGGGTCATTATAATGCACTCGGCCACAGATGGCAAAAAGATTTCATTCATTTGCTGAGGACGATTACTCCGTAGAGGCTCCCTAGATCCAAGAACTGTGAGGAAAAGGGAACCATCTTGCCTAGTGATGCCCTGTCGTGGGTGAAGGAGGGGGAACATTGGGCATGTGAGCAACACACTGGCCCATCCACTGGTGGTCTGTGAGCTTTATTTTTTTTTAAAGATTTTATTTATTTATTTGAAAGTGAGAGAGCACGAGCAGGGGAGGGGGAGGGGCAGAGGGAGAGGAACAAGCAGACTTCCCAGTGAACAGAAAGCCTGACTCGGGGCTCCATCCCAGGACCCCGGGATCATGACCTGAGCCAAAGGCAGACGCTTAACCAGCGTAGCCACCCAGGCCCCTGTCTGTGAGCTTTCTGAGAAAAGGCACTTGATGCGATTGGGCTGAAAAGAGAGTTGGGGTCACAAAGACTTTAGGAAATGGGCAGCTCATTTCTGTTCCCTTTTCCCCTAGGGACCAGGCCCAGCTGGATGCAGCCTCAGTGTCCTCCATCCAGGTAGTAGGCGTGGTTGAGGCTCTGATACAGAACGCCGACACCCTCTTCCCTGGAGGTAAAGCTCCTGCCTTTGTTTTTTGTTGGGTTGTTGTGGGGTTTTTTCTAAGGTTTTATTTATTTATTTGAGAGAGAGAGAGCATGAGCGCAAGCAGAGCAGGGGTGGAGGGGCAGAGGGAGAGGGAGAAGCAGACTCCCCGCTGAGCAGGGAGCCCAACGCGGGGCTCGATCCCAGGACCCCAGGATCACGACCTGAGCCGAAGGTGGATGCTTAACCGACTGAACCACCCAGGCATCCCGAAGTGCCTGCCTTTGTGAACATGTCTCTTTGCGCCCTCATCTGCCCAAGTCAGTGCCCTCCAGACTCAGCTTCAGTCCCTGCCAGCCCCACGAACTCACTACGAGACCTGGAGCACATTGCTTCTCTGTTCTGAGCCTCAGTGTCTCATCTGTAAAATGGGGATGATCCTGCCTACCTTGTGGGATTGTTGTGAGGCTCATGTGGGAGCGGAATGTCAGGGGAAAGGGAAAGTGGTCCTGACATTGGCAGAGGTTCTGGAAGTTAAGACCTGCTTCCTTCTGTCTGCAGACGTCAATTTCAACGTGTCAGGCCTGTTCTCAGCCCCTGGCCCCCAGGACAAGGTCAGCAACAGGCCAGCTGCTGAGGAGCTTCCAGCGATTGCTGTGGCCGCCTCAGCTCCAGCCCCAGCTCCAGCCCCGGCCTCAGCAGCTACCAAGGAAAGGTAGGGACTGACGGATATGACTGACCCCCCTCTTTGCCCCAAGACGTCAGCCTGAGGCACCATCTCAGGGCTTCCAGTAGGATTTTAGGAAATTCGATTACTGTATTTTCTTTTTTTTTTTTAAGATTTTATGTATTTATTTGACAGAGAGAGAGAGACACAGCGAGAGAGGGAACATGAGCAGGGGGAGTGGGAGAGGGAGAAGCAGGCTTCCCGCTGAGC